GTCTTGTATATATATATATATATATATATATATATATATATATTGGTTGTTGTACGGTCGCACGCAAGACAGTCGAACGTCGAGTGTCGCCACGACATTTCGGCAGACACCAATTTATTTGTTTTTGGGTTTTCTCTGACGGCGCACTCTCTATAAAGCGAAATTAGTTCTTTTTTCCATTGCCGTTTGATTCGGACTTCCAACGTAGCGGACTCATCTTCTTTTTTCCTCTTCTCCCAGTTTTTCCTGTTATGTAGCTTTCCTTCTGTATCACCTTCGCTCTCATAAACTGGCTTTTCTTTAACTGTACGGAGCCGGGCCGGAACTGTTTAATACGCATGTGTTTCCAAGACGAAAGCAACTAACGTAGTGCGTTTCTCCAACCCGCCGCTAACACTGTTTCTTCTTTCTTTTTCAAATCTACCTCGCAGATTTTCTTTATTACCTTTATTTCTCGGTGGCACGATCCGTTCGGTGTCGTCGTTTGGTGACCTCCCGCGTTAACCGGAAAAAGAAGCTTTCACTCCATTTAAGAAGGAACCCAATTCAGCAAATCACGCAAGCAGAACGCGGTTTCCTGTGATATTCATCTGTTTTCTTTTGTTTTGCTTTATTCATCATTTCTTTGTTTAAAGAAAAGAGGAAGAACCGCAGCAACATCCAAAAGCCACTCGCATCCATGGAGGTCAACACTACGCTGATTGACTGCTGCGATCCGAAGGATCACAGCAAGGTTCTCTTTCACTTTCTCATTCTTGATGCCCCGTCGCCCAGCAACCTGCCCACCTACGTGAAGGAGCTGCAGCGGCGCAACGTGCGTCACCTGGTGCGTGTGTGCGGCCCGACCTACGATACCAGTCTTGTGCAGAACAACGGCATCGAGGTGCACAGCTGGCCCTTCGACGATGGTGCGCCGCCGACCCGCAGCGTGATCGAAAGCTGGCTGAAGCTGCTGGATCAGGAGCTGCTGAAGATGAAGGAAGACCCGGCGGCGACGGCACCGACGATTGGCGTGCACTGCGTGGCAGGCCTCGGCCGAGCACCGATTTTGGTGGCCCTGGCGTTGGTAGAGTACGGCCAGGTCCCGGCGCTGGACACCATCGCCCTCATCCGCGAAAAGAGGAAGGGTGCAATTAACCAGATCCAGATGAACTGGCTTACCAAGTACAAGCGTCGCCGACAGAGTGGCGGTGACTGTGTTACCATGTAGCGATGTAGCGATGCGCGTGCATGTGTGTGTGCGCGCGGGAACTGCGTGCTGCTGACGCAGGATGTGCGCTGGCCCAACACGTTAGGCACCCGTCAGAAAGCGCAGGCGCACCCGGCAACCGAAGCGGGGAAACGGTACTGCATTGTAATCGATAATTTCAGAAAAAAATACATATTAAAAAGAATACAAAAAATAACAAGTGAGAAAAGTTTTTTCTTGGCCTTTCCGATATTTTAACACGTATATAAAAGCTTCTTCTTTTCTTTTTGTGTTGCCTGTCTTTGCGAAGTCTCACATGATTTCTTGTGTGCCCCCCGCCGGCGCCACAAAGACCTGCGCACCACGTAGCCGGCAAGCAAAGCGATCTTGATTCTGTAGCTTATCTTTTCCATTTGATTCTTTGTTTCTATTGTATCTCTCATGCAGCGTAAAAAGGGGGAAAAAAGGACTGAAAATGACACCATCTTTTTTCTCCCCCTTCATCCTTTGCTGTGTGCGTGTTGCTGCCTCGAATGCCTAACGTTGTCTTTCCTTCGCAGATCAGTCGTGAGTTCTTTGTTTTCTTCCTTTTCTTGGTTGTATGCATTCATGGGTGTGTTCGCTGACACGTGAGCGGTGGACACACAGAGGCGTAGGCGGGAGTAAAGTAGGATAAGTTTTCTTTCTTCTGTCGTTAACGCGCGCGGGGCAGTCTGGGTAAGACGGCGTTCGTTAAACCTGCGAGGCGCATTTTGAAAAAGAAAAATACAATTACATATTAATATCGCACGTCGTGTTGTCAATAGTCAAAGGAAATTAAAAAAATAAGGAAAAAAAAGGAGAAGTAAAGTAACGAGAAGTCGCTCCGCTCTGCCTGAGAGACTCCACCTTGTTGACGATGGCGGCGATGGCGTTCTGTGATTTCGTTCTTTCGTGTTCCTCTAGGCCGGGGTGTGCTGTGCATGTCGGGAGGGATGCTGGAGATGGCGGTTTGAAGAGCGGTGCCTTGAACGCGGCAGCTGTAAACAGGAGGAGTCATCGCCGCGGTCACCGCCATGTCGTTTCGCGTCTCTTGGTCCTGCCGATTACTTCGTTCTTGACCTTCCATCTCTGCTTTTCTTGTGTGAATGCTGACCCCCAGCGAAGTAGATTCTCGCGGATGTCTCCGTCATCGTTACAGCAGTCGCTTCGAAAGACACACACACACACACACACATATTTTTATACATTTATACGTTTGACCAATGGAACACGCACTGCTCAGTGTGGTGCACCTAGAGCCCCGCAAGGTGCTGCTGCAGTACGACGCCAAAGCCCACCAAGAAAAGCTGAAGCACCAACCGCAGCTCTACGCCGCCAGTTCTGCGGAGGATCGCGAGACGGTTTCTGATGACAACCGAGTAGCCGCGTACACGAACTTGTTAGACTTCATCACCGGCGCGCAGCAGGAGTGTTACACGCTGTTTGGCGATGACGAGGGTCGCTGGTCCGTCGACGATGGTGCGGCGGAGGAGCCGGTCAGCACCACCCGCGACAGCAGTCTTCGTGTGAACTCCAGCGAGTGGAGTGAGGAGGACAGCGCAGCGGATGGCGTCGCAGGACGCAAGCGCAGGCGTCACAATGCGTGAGGGCGACGTTAAAGAAACTCAGTCGAGAGGGGTGCTGCGTGTGTGTGGGGTTTGAGTCGTTGAACTCGAGGTATTTACCGTTCTTACTCAAATGCCCCTTGGATTAACCGCCTTGTGCAGGCCTCTTTGTCTCACGGGTTTTATTTTTTGGCGGAAACTATATTGCGATTAAACTGAAACAAAAAGCGAAGAACATGAAATCGTGTCATAGGAGCTCACCCGTGCCGTCTTCAAAGGCCGGCGGCGATACGCGACGGAATCTCTAGTTGACCAAGAAGAACCCTCCTACCTGTCTTTTGCGAGACGCAGCACACAACCGTTTACCTCCACTTCTTCCTCGTACTCCTCCGCCCACCTTCCTCTTTGACGTTGCACTCTCGTTGGTTTATTCGCCGCTTTCTTTTAAACCTTTCTTCCCTTTCGCGCACCGATGGCGGCGACGTGGACGTGGGGAAACAAACATACGCACGTTATCACGTCTCTTTGCGGTCTCTTGCCGACCTAGATACTGAACCACTGCAACAGTCGGACTGCAATCAGCGTCTTCGTCGGTGACAACGCAGAAAGCTAACGTCTGGACGAATCACAGCTGCCCATCTTCTTTCACACGGTAAGCGTTCACGGAGGAGAGCATCGGCTTCTCAAGTGGTGCACATTCCTTCTACACTTTCTTTTGTTTCTTTTTTGCTTCTATAGCGTCTTTACAGCCTCCATCACGGCGGCCTCTCTATCAAATTCACGAGGTTTGTTTTGATACCGCTTCCGTTGGACACACGTATCTATAAGTTGTCAACCCCCGTGGATTGAGTCACCGGCTCGCGTTGCAACGGTGCGTCATTGCTGAGTGCGCTGCACACTGTTCAAAAGAATCCAGCTGAAGCGCTTTTACAGTTTTTCCTCTCCTTCTGCGTTTCCAGTACAGCTGGAACGCGTAGCTCGCCTGCTGTATCTTTTCTCAAGCCCAAGTGAATGCCCGCTGCGTTTCATTGAGCAGCCGCGAGAGGAAAGCTTGGACGTCATTTCGCAAACGGCGGAGCCATCCACCGTGGTGCGCGTGTGCGTGGGTCTCCCTTTGCGTACATCTAGCAAAAAACAACAACCTCCACGGTATGGTGGATGTGTTGACCCACCTCATGGCGGGCACCTTAGCTGGCATGACGGGGGTCCTCGTGGACTACCCGCTGGACACCATCAAGACCCGCATGCAGACGCGCTGCCCCAATACCGGCGGCTCCTACGCACTGTGTGCCACCCGGCTCTACCAACAGGGCGGCATCAACGCCTTTTATCGCGGACTCAGCGTGCCCTTCGTCGCGCAGGGCGCGGAGGCGGCGATTATTTTTTCGGTGTACCACACCGCGCTGCATCACTTCCGCACGGAGGAGGAGAAGGGCTGCTCCGCCACCGATCCGCTTCCACCCTCGATCTGGAGCTCCTTGTACTACTGGAAGGCGGCGGCGTGTGCTGGTCTGGCCGTTTCCTTTGTTCTGACCCCTGTGGAAATGGTGAAGTGTAATTTGCAGATGGAAAGTAGTCGACCGTGCTGGCAGCGGCGCCACCTCTCGGTGCGTAGCCTCGCCTGGGACGTGTACCTCACCGACGGCCTCCGAGGCTTTTATCGGGGCATGACGGGCACGATGACGCGCGCCGTCTTTGGCAACGTAGCCTACTTTCTTTCGTACGAGCAGTGTAAGCAGTGGTTGACGTGTGTGTCGCGACCAGCCGCACGTTCGTCTCCCCTCACCTCCTCTTCACAGCATTCAACGGCAAAAGCACCACATCATGGGGTGCCTGCCTGGCGCTCCATGCTGGCGGGCGGCATCAGCGGGTGCTTGTACTGGTCCATCGCCTACCCCGCCGACGTCGCCAAGACGAAGATGCAGGTGTGCGCCAACGCCAGTGCGGCGGGGTTCGTTGGCACGCTGCGCCGCTGTTACGTGAACGGCGGGGTGCGTGCACTGTACCGCGGGTGGGGCGTGACGGCCGCACGCGCCTTTTTGTCGAGCGCCGTCGTCTTCACCACATATGAGCGATTTGAGCGTGCGATTGCTGGTCGGGGGCCGGTGCACCTCTCTCTCGTGCGCGAGGCGGCCTCGGAATGAGGAAACGACAGTTGATTAAAGTACTATTTTGGCTTTTTATTTGTTTCTTCATTTACATATAAAGAGCTTGTAGTAGAAGATCGATTCAACACGCACGGCGTCGGCGGCGCTTCAACACCCCAACTGCATCCTCAGATGCGTTTGTCTCCTTCACCAGCCGCCTGCTCGTTGGTCTGCTTCTGATCTGTTTTCAGTTTCTAAATATATTTTCTACTTCTCGCTTCTCTTTTTGTTGTTGTTTTGAACGGTGAGCCATTTTTCCCCCTTCTCTTGTTATATATCCCCTAAATACATACATTTATGGACTTCGTCTCGTTCGTGTGAACCTCCAGCGAGTTACGACGGCCTCTGCTGCGAGAGACGCGCTTTGGGCGGCCGTGGCTACGCACTTGAAGGGAGGCAGCGAGAGAGAGAGAGAGAGAGCGATCGTGAGAGGACGTACTTGTTGTGTTGTGCATTTCAGATTATTTTTTTTTTGGTTTCTGAATCTGTTGCTTCTGTGTTTCGATGCGTGAACGGTGAACGACGCGAACGTCACCGCCATCTTTTTTCACCCACCACCGAAGGAGGCAGAAACAGCAGAAGAAGGGAGCGGCCGACGTCACGCTTCGTTTCTCAGTGCGGTGTTCAGCAGCACGCGCTGACGAATTACTCCGTCCCATATTACGTCGATCGCACTTGATGAATGAAATGTCTCTCTTCTCGTTGTTCTTTCTTTTACTTTTCTGCATGTATGGGAGGTTTGGTGGGGCTTCTCCTTTTCAGACGTGCACGGGGTCGTACACAGCCCACATTACGCAGCTGAGCACCCGTCGTCAGACACAACAGCACTTCAAGGAGAGGGAGCGCTGTCTTCATGGAGCCTGTGACGGAGAAGGAGAAGAAGAAAGAAGTGCATCGTGTAATGTGTCGGCGGCGTTTTGGAGTCGCACCACAGCAGCCGGCAAACTGGGCCGGTCCGAACTTCCACGGCGTCGCTTCGCCCAGAAAGTGACATTACCCACCCCTCCTTTTTTTAAAAGGGACTAGAGAGCACCTTCCGGAACCATCGCGGCCCTCTCACCATTGACCCTGCAAGCGTGACGTCTCCGGTGTTGTCCTTCGACTTTGTCATCAACGTTTAGCTGTGTTTCTTCTGCTGTAAAGATAGCCATATTAATTTAAAAACAATAATGCCCCTTGTTTTTAATTTCCTGAGAGTTTATGCACGACCGGCAACAAACAACGGCCCAGACGGTCGCCAGAGTAGCGAGTGTATCTAGGGCTAAAGAATAAATGAAAGAAGGAGGAAACAGTAGCCGGCTTTTGTATGTCGCGTGGCGTAGGGTGCGAAAGCAAAATCAAAAAAAAAGGAAGCACATTAGCCAGCGCTATTTCAGCAGGAGATTGCCAGCGGCGACAGCACGTTTTCTTAGTGAAGTAACCTCGACAAGGCGTAGGCAAACCTTGGTGTCCCTCCGCTCTCGCCGCCTTTCGTTCTCTCTTTCCTCCACGACTTCTCTGCCCTTTTATTATTATTCTTCTATCTTCCCCAGTCCCACCGCAAGCGAGAGGGCAAAGGAGTCAGACAGGGAGGAGGCGTCGCCAACAATTCGAACCTCTTCCGTCCTGTCAGCGCGACATCATCTAAAGTAAAATAAGTGGCGGCTCCTGCGTGTGTGCGGCAAAAGGAGGGGCGCGCAGCTCGCAAACGAAGTGTGAAAAGAAAAGAAGGCAGCCATTATACAATACAATGCTTTTTTTTTCTAAATACCTGCTGGCAGAGTCTTTATTGGGATTAGGCGAGTGCAACTTGGAAAGCTCCACGTGATTGTATACGAGTGAAGGGCACAGGTGCACACATGAAGGTAGATTTGGTGATGTGGTGTTTCTCTGCAAGGTACATACACGATAATAATATTGCTGACGCGTCTTTTCTCTTTTCGCTTTCTTTCTTTCCTGTAGTACAAGAGGCGGAAGAATAGAAAGCCTTTCTCTCTGCTTCAGTAGTGCTTGGGCTGCTTTCATGAGCCTTGTGAACGACTTCGTGTCCGGCTCCGTCAGCGGCGTGGCTGGCATGCTAATCGAATACCCCTTCGACACCGTCAAGGTGCTCTTGCAGACGTACGGGGGCACCCTCTACAGCGGCTACGTGGACTGCATCACAAAGCTGTTCCGCCAAGACGGCGTCTCAGGCTTCTATCGAGGGGTGAGCGCGCGTTTGATCGCCTCGGGCTTCGAGCACGCCTGCGTGTTCGTCTCGTACCGCTGGACCCTCCGCGCGATCGGCGCGGGCGAGCGGCCGACGATTCCGCAAATCTGCGTCGGCGGCTGCGGCGCGGGTGTGGCCTCGATGCTGTCTCTCACCCCATTTGAATTGGTGAAGTGCAAGATGCAGGCGGACAACAAGAAGGGCCGGCGGCTCTACCGCAGCTCGCTGGACTGTGCACGGAAGATCGTGCGGGCGGATGGGCTCTGTGGGCTCTACAAGGGCGGGGTGGCGACGCTCTACCGCGAGGTGCCTGGAACTGCGGCGTGGTGCGGCACGTACGACACGTTGAAGAGCTGGATGACGCCGGAAGGGGCCTCGACGCAGACCCTCTCGATTTGGCAGCGCATGTTTGCTGGTGGCTGCAGTGGCGTGGCATTCTGGACCGCGTTTTATCCTTCGGATGTGGTGAAGACCCGCATTCAAGTGGACCCCGCCTACAGTAATCTGGGCGTGTGGCGGGCGATGGCGCGGCTGTATCGAGAGGGCGGTGTAGGAATCCTGTACCGCGGCTGGACCATGACGGCGGCGCGTTCCTTTCCCTCAAATGCCGTCATTTTTGCCGTCTTCGATGGGTGCAATCACCTCTTGAGCGGTCCAAGTCCTGTGCAGAAGGACCCGCTGCATCTCGTATAGCCACAGGCCTCTACTGCCAAAATGCACCCCGCGCTCGGCATGGCAACACCGTTGTTCGCTAATCTTGGTGTTTTCAAGTAATACCAAAAGGGAAGTGGAATTCATCATGTCAGACGGGATGGAAGTGTCTCGGGACGGGTGGAGGGAGCGGTGTGACGCCCCTCGGTGCGGCGGATGTTACGAGCACGTGCCGCCCCTTCTCTGTGTTTTTCTTTCTTTGGCCCTCTACGGACTTTCTCGTCCGTACGTCTCACTGAACGGCTGACGAGTATTTTTTTTTAGTTGCGCTTATCCACTCACACACACACGTGTAGAAAATCAATCAAGGTGCTGAATGTTGATGGAGTACCGTAGCGCGTGATGCTTTGCGCGACAGATCGCACGGAGGGGGGTTCATTCTTCCGGTGTGAAAGGAAAAGGAAAAGATATCTTCTAATGCCACCGCAGAACTCGTTTCAACGTGTATTCGAGAGGTTCGTTTGCTGGATCGGTTTCGAGCTGCTCTTCTCTTCGACATCGCTGTGCCCTTCACTCCCACCGTTTATCGTTCTCTTTCCCCCTCGCCTGTGTCTTTTTGTTCTTCACGGCCCGCCTGCGCTCAGCGCAGCCCAATCTGCACAGCATTCCGTTTCACTTATTTCTTCCTCCTTTGCAGCTATGCGGCGATCGCAGGTGGATGACGCGCGGAGGCAGCAGGCAGCCGCGGAGCGACGTTTTCGCGGGCGTCGCATCCGCGGCGGCCTCGACGAGCTGGGCGACCTCGACGCCCCGCAGCAGCAGAAAGAGCGCAAAGAGATCGCGATGGCTGCCTCCGCTTCTTTTCCCACTGACACGCAGAACAACGCCAAGGGTGCTGCGTCGACTACCATGGCAGCAGCAACGGCACTGGCGGGGTCCCCGTTGCTGAGCAGCAGCACGGAGGTCTTCCGCACCGTCTTCGGCACCGACTGGTCGGAGTGGGTCGAGGTGAAGCGTGTTCTCTTCGATATGGAGGCCACCGTCGCCGCAAAGCGCACGGCGCTGGACACGGTGCAGCTGTGGCACCTCCGAGCCCGAAAGGAACGCGTCTTGCCGCCCTACGTGGAGGCGACGTCGGTGCTGCTTGATGCGATGCTGCAAGACGAGTCGGATGCGCTCACCGACGGACCGCAGCGCATGTGCTACGGGGCGGCCATCTCACGCGTCGTGCACGTCATGACGGGCTCCTTTGCGAGCGGACAAGCCGACACGTACCGCAAGCGTGCGCGCGAGATTGGGTTTCCGGAAGAGGCGGTCGAGGTGCGTCAGCGCGTCGCGCATGGGGTGTTGCCGCTCACGTCGGAGCTGCGATGGGTCTGCGGGTTGGTGCTGCAGTTTTTGTTTACCGAGTACTGGCTGGAACAGGAACGCCAACTGTACTTGATGGAGCAGGCGGGGGAGAAGCCGGTTGAGTCCCACGCCAGCGAGAAGCAAGTGGCTGCTGCTGTGAAGAAGCAGAAGGGTCGGAAAGCGGAGAAGTCTGCTGCTGGTGCTGCAGGGGCTGTTGCCCATCCCTCTGTTCCACCTCCAGCTGTGTCGATGGACGATATAAAAGCCCTACTCGCGGACCTGGAGGAGGACAAGGCGGATCCCTGCACGACGAAGGTTGCAACGGATAAGGTAAGCGTGTCACCAGAGGATGCGAGGATAGTCGAGAAACAGAGCGGCCGCGTGACAGCTGCAGCGTCAAAGGACACCGAGGGAAACACGGTGAGCTTAAATGGTTGGTTGCTCTCGTAGTGTGCAGAGGCAATTACGTGGTTACGGTGTGCGATTCCAGTTCTTCTTGGGTGCGGTAAAGTATGTGTGTGTGTGTGCGTACGCACCGACGCGACGTGCGGCCGCCCTAGGAAGGTCTGTGGACAGAACGGCTCACTCTCACCAATTCGATTCGCTAACGTGATAAGTTGCTAAAACTCCCAACAACAATAACAAATAACATTGGGGGAAGTAATATTGAGAAAAAAAGGGAGAAAGAAACTCATGTCGGCAGCAACGGCACACATTATGCGCAACGTGTATGTAGCCTTAAGCCGTGGCGCCGTGCCTCGCAAGAAGAACAAAAGGAATAGTTAAAACGAGGGGAAGCTGCGAGTGTTTCGTCGCCATACTACTAATTAATATAATCGAAATGGATCATTTTTCGAAGGCACAGTGTGTGATTCTTTCTATTCACTTCCCGGCCAGCTCTCTTCCTTCCCCTCCCCTCTTTCGTTATGCGAGTCGATACCGGTGTTGCAGCGGCATCTACGCAACCAACGACATCCCGACAGCGCTACTTCGTTCTCCTTGTACACGGTTGTTCATCCCCATCATCAACGGCGAGGAAAGACCCCTGTTTCGGCATCCAATACCGTACTCTCTGCGCGTCGTCGCTGGCGATGTAACGCGTCACCTTTCTCAAACAAATAACATTCTCTACAGAACATAAGTCACCACCACCACATCAACAACATCAAAAAAAAAAAAATGAATGTAGCGGCAGAGAGTCACCAGCACTTTCTCACCAGCCTCGCTATCGACCCGAGCACCGACGAGCTCTACGCCCTCTGCGCCGCCAGCGGCGAAGTTCTCCGCTACAACGCCGAACGCCAGACCTTCACCGAAGTCGCAAAGACGGACGTGCCCCCTGCCAGCTTCGCTTTCTTGACGGATGGCGAGGAGATGCGGTGGGTGATGGCCTGCCCTATGCAGCGGACGTTACTCACGACCTCGGCGACGGTTCGCCAGCGCGTGGTGGAGGAAGGCACGGAGGAGCTCCCTGTTGTCACCTTGGCGCCGTATGCAGCCTGCTCGCACGCGCCGCCGCTGAACGCGCCGACGGCCGTCACCGTCAGCCCGTGCGATGGCGAGGTGTTCTTCACCGATGCGGGTTGGGAGGGCGACTCCTCCCTCTTGAACCGCACCGGTGCGGTGTATCGCACGGTGCAGCGCCACTCCGCCGTCGTCGCCCTCCAGCCCACCGGCTTGGCACAGCCGAGCAGCGTCGTGGTCGGCCGCGACGGCTGCGTTTATGTCGCGGAGATGGTCGAGAACCGCCTGCTGCGCTATGTCCCACGCGGCGGCGGTGTGCGGTACATCGGGGCTGTCTTCGCGCGCTTTGAAGGGTCGATGGGGCCATCGGCGGTCGTCGTGCACCCCCGCACGGGGCACCTCTTTGTGGCGCTGTACGAGGCGGCGGAGGTGGGCCGACCGTACGAGGCGGTGGATGACGAGACATCCTCGACCGCGCCACCGCTGCAAGGACGCGTAGTGGAGCTCGATCTTAGCGGAGCAGAGGTGTGTACGTATCATGTGCCCGACACGCAACTCCGCGCACTGGCGTTTGATGTCCAGGGTACGTGCCTGTACGCGGTGTCGAGTGACAGCAACACCTACTGGTCCACACTCTACCAAGCTGCGCTCAACGAGAATTGAGGTGACACGTTGGCGGGGCTGGAGAAAACAAGGGGCTGAGAGAAGAGCAAGCAACAAACCCACACCGCTGTAAGTGCAATGTGGAACGTCTGTAGCGTGGTGATGTATTTCTGGTCAGCCGCTTTGATCTCTGCGCGTTGGCGTTTGCGATGGCGCTCCTCTGGCTGAAGAAGTTTTCCTTCTCTCGTCAACACCACGCACTTGACCTCAACCTTACCACACACAACGAAGCAGCCGATGGCGCAACATGAGACTCCCAAGAGTGTGACGCCATCTCTGATCCTTGTGTTATACTCTTCACACGTGCACTGCGTATTTTGAACCCACCTCATGAAATGTTAACAAGGAAGGAGTGTCCTCTGACACTGGGAGCCGCTGTTCCTTCCAACTTTCCTTTCCCTCACTCCTCCTTTTGGTTCTTGTCACAGCAGCTTTTGCGTGTACACTTCTCGCCTCGATCGCCGCTGTCGTAGGCGAACGCAAACAACAGTAAGAACGGAGGGGGGCCTAATCTCTCTCTACATATTCGCGCTTATGCGTCTGCACATCACAACCTAACGCTGCGTGTGTTTCTTCCTGCGGGCACCTCCTGCTTTCACGCTCCACGCCTTGCCGAAAAGGCCGTGTGACGATGTCCAACGGGACCTTCGGTCAATCAGGCAGCAACGTCGGCGGCATGGGGCCCCCTGCGGGTCCGCCGCAGCCCTACCCACCTCCACAAGGCACGGCCTACCGAGGAACGTCTACTTCCTACGCCTCCATCGGCCCCCGCAGAGGCGCGGAGGGCCGTGGCCGCGGCCAGGGTCAGCGCTACGGCGACGGCGCTCCCAACAGTCGCGGGGGCTTCGCTTCCGCCCATCGTGGCTACCATTACGGCAGCGGGCCTTCTCTCGTGGAGGACGGCCCGCGCACGAAGCCCTCTTCATACGTGACGCCGTACGACGCGGTGCAGGCGCAGCCCGCCCAGCACGGTGCCTCCGTCGTCCGCTCGGGCAGCGCCGCGACCGAGGGCGGCAGCATTTTGTTCTTCAGCAGCGTGCAAAAGAAAGGCGGCGCCTTCACGGCGTCGGAGCGCGAGACGTACGCGCAGCTGCGGCAGAGTCGCGCCATTCCGAGCAGCAACCAACGCGGCGGCGGTGGTCGAGGCGGCAACGTGGTGGGAAGCGGCATCATGACCCGCAACGTCGCTCGGCAGTTTGAGGAGCTGGAGAGGCGTCGTGAGGCGACGGAGTTGGGCGTCGTTCGGAGGGCCGTGACGGCCTCCAAGCGCTCACGGTTTGCACTGGGGAGTGAGAGCGATGAGGACGAAGATGATGAAGAGGAGGAGGACGGAGAGGAGGGGAAGGACAGCGAAGAGGAAGATGGAAAAGTGAAGGTGGAGGGAGGTGTTGCGGGGGAGGGGACGGCGAAGAAGGCTCGAGGGGAGGTGCAAGGCTCGTCAAAGCTGGGCGAGTCTTCCTCCACTTGAATCGCGCCCTTCAGCGCAATCTTCCGGGTAACGCTTCTCGCCCCCTTTTTTTTTTCTTTGCTCTTCTGCCGATCAGCGGCTGATTGCGTCACCGCTGCGGTGGCGCCTTCTCTTTCACTTTATACAAGTGTGTTGTGCACCCCGAATTGTAGCGGGGTCCGGCAACTGAAAAGAACAAAGAGATCGACTCGGCACAAATAAAGAGAGGATGGCGAGGCGGTGCCGTTCTTTGCCTGGAAAAAGGTCTCCCTTCGACTTGGTCAGCAAGGGCTCTCTCAATACATTTCGACTTTCACGGGCGACCTTCCCAACATGTTGAAACGACCGTGATGATGTCGGTGTTCTTTGTTTTGCCTCAGTGACGTCGCGCGGTTCTCTTTTTCTTTCTCTTATGTCCCCTCTCTCCTTCTCACGTCGTTGCACCGTTCTCACACGCACACACACACCCTTCCCCCTCCTTTTGCAAGCAAATTATAGGTTGCTGTGCGTGTGCCACGTGGTTGCCTCTGGCTTCGTTGCCGGTGTTGTGTAGCCGGTGTTTCCTTTACCCCATTTAGCGAGCTTTTATTTTCGGGTGGCATACATAGCACGAGTAAAAGCACTCGTTGGAAAACTCTTCTCATATCACTTTACGTTTCGCAGCTGTCTTGTGTTCTGCTGCAACGCCTACCATTGGTGCTTCTCTTGTCATTATATTATTTCTTTGCGCAATCACGTAAAAAAAGGAAAGAACAAAGACACGCATCCGTGCGGACGTGGATGCGACCGCCTCTCTTTCCGCTCTGTCTTCCCTTTCTCCCCCCGCAGCCGATACACTTTGGCGCCCGCCGCTCCTTATTCTTGCATAGAGGCTAACTTCCACGCCTGCTGAATCGCTTTCTCCCTTTTTTTTCTTCGTTAAGATCTTCAGCCGCCTTCGGGCTTTTTTTGAATCTGCCGGACTCTTTTCTGTGCTAATTCTCCCTTTCTCAGCTGTCCTGCAAAGACCGTTTTGTGTATTTCCGGCCAACGTTGTATTATATATTTATTTACCTTTATCTTCCCTCGCTGTTGTTAGCAAATATATATTTTTTGCTGCACTTGTGTGTTGTCTGATTTCTCCATTTTATTTTTTGGGAGGTGAACCGCCCCCTTCTTTTCTTGTTGCATTCCCGTCAGCTTCTGCGTCGTTGCTGCTCCGTATTGGAAAAAAGGGCTGAGAGGAGCTCTCCGCCGTATCCGCCGCGTTCCCCCTTTGCCGCTTTTCAGTTTATACCACCATTTACGGGCTCGGACTCTTCTTCTCGTTCTTCTTCTTCTCTTCGCATCTGCTTACACTTGAACTTTTGTGTTTCAGCGTCATGGCGAACTCCGACTCCACGGTGGAGTTCGACACGAGTCTGTTCCTCCAGTTTTTGTTCTCCGTCATCTTTCTGTTTGTATGCTGTTTCACGTTGATGCTGTACGTTGATAAGGCGCTGGCCTTTGCGACGGTCGTTCTCCTGCGCTTCTTGGTGCTGCCGCGTAACATCCGCATTGGCCTCAGCGGCCTGCACATTGCGCCGCTGCAGGGACGCGTTCTCTTTCGCGACTTCACATTCCAGACGGAGAATTTGTCGCTGCACATTGTGGACGGCTACGTTACCCTGGCGTTCTGGGGCTTCTGGTTCAAGCGCTCCCGCTGGAGTCGCGTGCACGAGTACATGGTGTGTGACACCCTTGTCGGTACTCGCTGCCGGGTGCGGCGCAACCTCGCCTATGTGAAAGGTACCGTCGTCCACGTCGATGTCGAAAAGCGGAAGGTGTCCGTGCAGTTCGATGAGCAAGGCACAAACAGCAGCGGCGACGACATCGACGTGGACGACGCGGGCACTGGCACAGAGCCGCATCCCGACCCCCTCCCTCGGCTCTCTGGTGATCTGAACCACTCAGTGCTGCGGGAGACCAACTCGACGCACAACAGCAATTACAGCAGCGCAGGTGAGAGCCCGAACGTGAAGGAGGCGACGCCCGCGCCGCTGCCGCCGCAGTCGCAGTGTCGCAGCACATTGAAGGAGTTCACCACGCCCGTCTCCGTGCCGGATGCGGAGGCGCTGAAGCGAGGCAGCAACCCGCCCGCCCGCTCTGAGGGTCTCGGGGACGAAGTGGTTAAGGTGGTGGACGCCAACGACGTCTTCGTGCGCAGCCGAGCCGGTCTCCTCCAAATCCACCTCAACGGCGTGCGCTTGTGCATATACAACGCAACGGGGAAGTATTTGGACCTCGCCAAGGCAGCGGCGACGCAGGCGGCGAACTCCGCCTCTGCCACCGCTGCTGGCTCAGTACGCGAGGGCCGCGGCAACAACAACAATGGTAGCAACACCGCCGCTGCTGCTGCTGCTGCTGCGGCGGCGGCGCGGAGAGATAAGCGAGGCCCCACCGCGGACGAGAAGAAGACACGAAAAGCAGAGGAGGCGTTGCGGCGGCACGGCAAGGTAGCGACAGCGAAGGAGGGTGTGAAGCGAGCCGTTATTCAGTGGGTGCGCAAGGCGGCCGACAACTCGCAGGGCTGGGAGCAAAATGATCTGGACGCGCAGGGGATGACGGAGCCGCCGGTGTCCGCCGAGGTGCGGGCGGCGCGGAAGCTGCAGGAGCACAACATCCTCAACACGTCGTTTGCGCAGAAGTTCTTCAACTTTATCGGCTGCGTCGAGCTTGAGATTTGCTCTGCGCATGTTGACCTCGGCGCCGTTGCGGGGACCCATCCGTACTTCTTACACCTGACGTTCCACCAGGGCGAAGGCCGCGTGTTTCTTACCAAGGACAGCTGCCCCGCACTGGACCTTTATCGATTTGTGACGGAGCTGACGCTGCGTGAGGTGGATGTGCGGATGGCGCAGCTGGACAGCAAACTCAGCAAGACCCAAGTAATGCGTAACGCCACGCTGTACGAGTGCGCGCGGCTGCTCTTCTCGGGTGTGGCGGAGTCCTACGAGCACCTGCCCTTTGAGACGCCATCGTCGTCGGAGCTGATTAGCCAATACGGCGTGCTGATGGACGGAAAGGATAAGGGCACCGTGCACCTCGTGTGCTACAAGGATGCCGCCAACGTGTACGCAGGCGAACCGGTGCGTCGCGGTGCGCTGCCCACGACAGGCGTGGAGGTTCTGATTGACACGCCGGTCATTCGCTATGGCCCCTGGCTCGAGTACTGTCGCATGCAGCTGTGGCAGTACTTCTTGCCGCCGAATTACCTGCCCCTGCAGGAGCTGCAGTTCGTTGTTGGCCTGCCGCGGCCGAACGCCGGGTTTGAACTGCTCGTGCTGTTTCTGCGCGACACCACGTGCGAGATCCCCTTCAAGCGACGCAGCATCGTGCCGTCTCCGCCTTTCGGGATTAAGGACTCGCGGCGCAAGGCGAAGATGGTCGCCACCATCGGGGCAGGCGCGCAGTACATCCAGCCCGCCTTCTTTCTCTTGCCAAAAGAGGAAAAGCAAGTCTTCCAGGGCCTGTTTATCGCGAAGGACGTCACTGTGTGGGCTAACTGCGTGCTCGACCGCGAAACCATCTTGTGCCACGCCGACTCCGTGCAGTTCTTCGTGGATCGCCAGGACGATCGACTATGGAATGGGCGGAAGCTCTTTAACATCCTCACAAAGTTGTCGGGGGTCGAGATGTACTGGTACATGGTGTATGTGGACTATTTCCTCGACTTGCTGAACGACTGGCAGTTTGCCGCCAGCATGTACCACGACGCCCCTCTCTCCACCGAGCTCTTCAACACGCTTAATCGATCGGTGCGCGACTTCATCCCGAACGTGAAGCGGTTTGAGGTCTTTGTTGAGTCCACAGCGTCCATTCACCTCAACGTGAACACCCACAACGTCGTCTACGCCGAGGACCCGAACGACCTGGCGCACAACATTATGGCCACCGTGAAGTTGCAGTCGGGCAGTTTTAGCGTGGTGCTGCCGAGCGACCAGTATCAGCTCAGCTACGAGAACGAAGTGACGAGGCCCCTGGAGGCCTCGGCGCGGGAGATCAAAGCGTACCTCAGCCTGCCACCGAGCCACCCCCTGCATGACCAGGCGAGCGCTACGATCCCTTGGGCCTACTCGGAGACGTTCAAGATGAACGGCCTGTTTGTCATGCAGGTGCCAAACCAGTCGATCCCCATCTCACGCGACAACATGGACCCCACCACCGGGCGTACGAAGCTGCACAACTACTTCACTTTGGATCTCGAGTTTACAAACTTGCGAGGCACGTTGATGGGCACGCACATTAAAGCCCTCATCCAGTCCTTCCAGAACATTTTCCTCGACAACACCTTCACCATCGCCCCGGACGAGCTCTTCTGGCTGCTCGCGAAGCTGCAGTCACACGCCACGACGGGGAAGAACAAGCGGAAGGAGTTTAAGCAGTTTTTAGAGCAGAGCCAACCCGCCGGGAACGATATGGAGATTTGCGTGTCGGTGCGGCTCGTCGACGTGAGTGCGACCGCCACGACCGGGCAGGTGAACGGCTCCCCGCAGGTGAACCTCTCCACCGGCCTCGTCACCTTCACATACGTCAAGCAGTTCGCTGTCACCGACACGGGCGTCACACTCTCGCCGATTACAGTGCGCTTCCCCGACCGCCGCGGCAACTTCTCTCGCAACGCGGAGTCGAACATGGTTGTCGGTGCCATCGCCGTCGCGCTGACGAAGCACTTCGGCCAGATGCCGCTCAAACCCAAAGTGCACGAGTCGATGGAGGTCATCGTCGACGGCGTCTCGCTGGAGGCCACGGCAGAGCAGCTCATGCTGCTGGTGGACGTGGCGCAGACGATAGGGCGGCATTTATTGGCGGAGGACATGATGATGGAGGCGGAGGTGGCGGACGCGCTCTCCGCGGCGGAGCTGCTGGCAGAGAAGGTGGTCCGAGCAGGCCCACTGCGCAACACAACGGACGCTCCCCGCTCCGGCGGTATGCGTCGGCGTCGTGCCGGCCGCGGTGGGACGGCGCTCTTCGGCAGCGGCGCTGCGGTGCCCGCCGGACCGGTTGCCCTCAATGCCTCCTTCGAGCCCAGCCCAGACGATCCGGAGGGTACGAGCCGCGTGGACGACGACGACGACGCGGCGGGGGACGCGGTGGAGATGCAGGAGTGGCGCTCCGCCCGCCGAGCCGCGGCGCTGCCCCAAGGCTTTCAAATCCCCGGCGAGATGGAGGGCGAGGAGGAGGAGGTGCAGGTCAGCGTGCAGCCGTCCTTCATCACCTCCACCCCCACCACCACCGCCGTTCCCTTTTCGCAAACGGCGTCGGCCGTGTCCCCGCAGGAGCCTTTAGAGCCGTTCAACACCGGCGGCGGCGGCGTCCCCATCCTGCACTCCTACGAAAACGACGCCGCTCGCCCGTCCACCGTTGGCAAGCACGGGCACAGCCGCAAGCGTCGTCGCCTCTTCTTTGCCGACTCGCCCACCTCCAGCGCCCACACCTCCGACACGGAGCACGACGTGGCCCATCAGCACCCCTTCGCCTCGACAGTGCCCTACGACGTCGCACTGGGTTTTGCGAACTTCATGGATGAGTGCAACAAGGCCAGCGACGACTCGAAGGACTACGGACTCTTCTTCTTGATGGTGAACATAGGCAGCGTGCGTGGGGTAGTGCGCATCGGCGAGGACGGCTACGCCGCGCTGGAGCTGCCGGCGGGTGTGACGATGGCCCAGTCGACGGTGAACGACGGCAACTCGAACAAGCGCCTGAGTGCGGCTGCGAAGGACCTCGGTGTGCAGCTCATGCTACACCGCACCAGCGAAATGGCCCTCTTCTACCTGCCCTCTTTGAAGGATGAGTCGGCGGGGGGCAACTATTTGGAGGTGATGGCGCTGCACACCTCACTCTGTGTGCGGCAGTACGTCGCCTACCCGTTTGACAAAAGTCTGGAGAACCACCGCAGCAAGCAGATGCAGTTTGTGGAGGAGAACGACTACGAGCAGCTCATCGGCTTCCCTTTTCAGAACGCCGCGACGCACTGCCCTCCAACGGTGCCATCAAAGACGCCGGCGGCAGCGGCGGCCAATGCGGAAACTGCCGGTCAAGGCGTGTCGTCGTCAACGCGGAGAACGCCGAGCACTGCGGTGGCGATGCCGGAACCGGCCACCATGCCTCGTCCCACTCCACTCAACAAAACGAAGGCGGCAGACCTCGCTGCTGCCGCCGCTACAATGTCTTTGGTTACTGAAGCTCCTGATGCAGCAACACGGGGTTACTCACCAGTGGCAAACCAAGCTTCTGGGTCTGTGCCACCGATGCCGCCAACAACGCGCTCGTGGATACCTGCAGAGCTGTTACTGCACCCGCCAGGCTCAAGCGCTGAAGGAGACAACTCGGCGGCTTCGCCGTTGCAGCCACGCCCCTTCCCACACGACAGCCGCGGCTCCGACGTCTCCTCCGACTCCCTCGACACGATGGCACACAACAACAATGCGAAGGGCAACGACAACGACGCTTCTGGCGGCAAGTGGAGCGGGTGTGCAAGCCTGTCCGATACAATGTTCCCAACAGACAAAGAGAAGCCGGAGGACAGCAACCGCTTTGAGACGTGCGTGTCGCTCTCCGCTGACAGCTCCGCTTCCTGCACCGGCAGCACGGACGACTTCTTCAACGACTCCTCTTCCGAGGACTCTTCGCGGCGGATGGTAGACAACCGCGCCTTTGCGGCGGACCGCTGCGTCGGCCACAGCGGCAACGACGGACCTGTACCCGCCCGCGCCGGCAGGTCTCCGCAGGCCCCGCAGGGGCCTCAAAGCACCAAACCCAGCACCGCGCCGTCCAAAGGTTTCCCTGCCGGCGGCGCTCCCGGTGCGAGGGGGTCTTCCGCGGCGTCCGTCCACGTCCCTCCGCACCTCTTCTACCGCACCTTTGACAAGGCGGAGAGCGACGACAACGGCGTGTGCGCGACAGACTACTGGCCGCCGCAGCGACCCAGTGGGCCGCAGAAGGTGCGGGATCGCACCGGCTTTCATGCACAACTCCCCATCGTCGGCTTTTACCCGAACCTCGACCTCCCAACGCGCGCGCCCGTCTTCTTTTCGAGTATGAAGCGAGACATGCTGCAGGCAGAGGCGGACCTCTTCGCGTGGGCCCGCTGCGTCGTCGACAACCGCGAGCGCTCCAAGCACAACTCCACCTCGCGTCACTTGCACGTGGCGCTCTTGGACCCGATGACGGTGTTGGTGACACCCGAGGCGGCGGTGCTGGCCGGGGCCGCGGTGCGCCTCTTTCTGCAGATGCACGCGTCGCTTGGGGGTCCCAAGAACACCGACCTGCAGCGGGCCGCGTCCCCGTTGGTCAACGCGGCCAACTCGACCTCGCCGGCGGCTGCGCCACCGCGATTGCTGCGATCGCACGCCAAGAAGAGCAAGACCCGCACCCAGCAGAAGCGTTGGCTCTGGGAAGACAACATCATGAGCGTGTCCGTCCCCGCGATTGAGGTGAAGCTGCTGACACGGCTGCCGGTGCCGGCGGAGAACCTGCCAGACCCGTCGTGTGCGGTGGACGGCGTGTACAGCTCGACAATTCTCGTGCGCAACCTGCGCGGCATTATCGCACAGAACCGCCCGCCGAGCGGCGAGGAGGTGGGCGACGCTTCGCAGAAGGTGTCCGCCTCGCTAAAGCTTGACACCTTCGCCGTTGTGACGCAGATCGAGTGGGAGCCGCTGCAGCGGGAGGGCAACCTGCTCGCCAAGGTGCCGCTGGTCTGGTACGACAGCGCGAAGCCGTCGTTGGCGGTGGTGTTCTTGACGCAGGTGGCGGGGAAAGGGAAGCGAGATTTGTGGCGCGGCACAGACGGCGGGGCGTGCAACATTACAACAGCGCAGATTGCCTGTCACGTGACGCGCGACTTTGCGGACTACGTTGATCAACTCCGTCATCTCATTAAGGAGGTCATCGAGGACGTGCGAGGTCGACTGCGGGCGGCAGGCAAGGAGAGACTGTCGGGATCATGGATAGCGTACAATGAGAGTTCGTCGGTTACGCCAGGCAACACGGATGCGTCCCCGCTCAGCCCTGAATGGAACGCCTTTGTTTCTCGGGCCGGGGAGGGCGCCCGCACGCACAAGAGTAGCACGATCCAAGGCAAAGGCTTTCTAGGAAGCGTCACCATTCGGTTGATCGACACAGCGCGGGTGAGGCAGCGGATTGTGGTGAATGAGCACGAGGTGAGCCACGTGGAGCTGCGGAAACCCTTCTGCAACTTCGTGGCTGTCATGCCGAGACTGCTGCGGGATCGGCAGGTGCACATCCAAGGCGTTGGTGAGATTGATCTGGTCAGGGCGCACGTGCTGCCGTCGGCGCTGCACGTACTGCGTCCCCGCGCAGCCCAGCGAAACCGCAGCATCGCGGCGAAGTTGCCGAGTGGCTCGCCGCACAACGGTTGTGGTGTCGGCGGTAAATCGCCCGCCGTGAGCGTGCCGACATTCTTGGGGTCACCCCAGACGGCCACAATGATGGAAGGGAGGTCAGCCTTCAGCATTTCCTCTCCGCAGGAAAGTTCCGCAGCCGCCGCAGCTGCCGCACGGCAAGGTCCAGAGAAGGGTAAGCCGCTTCTGATGATCTACGATGGCACCTTCACGGTGCATCAGCTGGATTTGAGCGCGAAACACTCGGACAGCAACTACGTTCGTCTCTTAGGAAAGGAGCTGACCGGGTGTGCGGAGTCGCGCATGGAGTCGGTGGCGTCGCGGGAGTGCGTGCAGACCGAAGCGCTGACCGAGACCATCTCCGATGTCCTGAAGGCACGGCTGCGCTCCAAGGCCAACCGAGCCCGGGAGCGGGCGAAGCGCAGCCGCTACCCCGCCCCGCCTGAATCGACCGAGCAGCTTCACCTACACTCCACTGCTTCCTTCTTTGCTCATCAACTTCAACTGCACTACGTCGCGGAGTGTGCGATGGAGCCCATCTCGCACGAGTCGGGCCCGCGATGTGAGACGACCGCCTCTGCGCCGCACATCATGCAAAGGAACAAGATCTTCACCGCGGACATTGCCAGCGTCGTCCTCGTGGCGCAGTTTGCCTCGCAGTTCAACGTGCGCGGGGATCAAACGAACCTGCACATGATCGTGCGCCACGTCGTTTTCGACTCGCCGTACTGTCTGCAAGCGGCGGAGATGCTGCACCCGCAGGTGAACGCCCTCGTCAGCTCGTGGCGCAATGCGGTGAGCGAGATCACCAACTCGATGCGTCGTGAACGCGGCGACGGCTCCAAGTCCTCCGTCGCCGCTGCCACTCGGCGCGGCGTCTCGTTCTCAGACAAGGAAGTGAGCCGGGTGCGGCGCAGCAGCGCCATCACGTTGCAAATGCAGGCCACGTCCATCACCGGCTACGCCGGACTGCCGCAGGGGATCGTACAAAAGTTTTTGCTACCGCAGATCTCGTGCTTCACGAAGTCGTCGTCAAATGGACGCGTCGATGTGAAGCTGCACTTACACCCCTTTACGATCACCGCCCACAACGCACCACAGGAGAACTACCGAGTTGTGCTGCCGCACGTGTATCTTCTCTACAGCCACGACACCATCAAGATGCTCTGCAGTGTTACCATGGGCACGATTGCCATCACCATCACCCCGCTCTTCATCAACCACACCTTGCTCACCTACGAGAAGCTGATCAACGACGTGCTGGTGGTGCTCTCCTCACCCGCCGCCAGCGACGAGACGGTGGGCTCCCCCACCTCTCTCTCTCCGGGAGCAAACGACGACGACGGCGCCATGCGACGCGACAGTTCGAGTTGGCCCTCCGGCGGCAGCGGCGGCGCCGGGAACGACGACGTCGGCCAGGACACACACACACGCGGCAAACCCAAAGGCGGGCGCGAGCGGGACGCCGCTGACAACAGAGGTGGAGGTAGTGTTCGTAGTGGCGGTGGAAATCCTCTATCGAGTGACCGCAAAGTCACGTCGGTCTTCGCTGATGAGCAGCAGCAGCAGCAGCCTTCTGTCGCAGAGCCCGACAACTCCCGCTCCTCCGCCGACGGGCCGCGTCGCCGCCGGCGTAGCTTTCTCTTCCTCCTGCAGGGCGTGCGGCTTTCTTACTTGACCTCCATGACGACGCTGCGGTTTACGATACGCAACCTCAACGCCACGGCCGACACGACGGAGGGCCACAGCCGGCAGACACTGCGGTGGGTGGTGCACGTGACGGATGCGCAGGCGGCGCTCGTGGACCGCGACGATCACGACCAGATGATGGCTACCTACAATAATTTAACCGGTGCCAGCAACGGCGCGAGCCCGACGGTGCGGGACATGGCGCAGGTCGCGGCCACCGCCTTCGGCAACGGGCGGGGCATCGAGACGGCCAACAAAATGAAGGCCGCGCACCCGCTCGGTGGTTTTCTCTGGGGCTCCGTCGGCCTCTCACTGACCCTGTCCAGCGGCAAGGTAGATGAGAACCGTCTCAAGAAGACGCTGCAGGAGTCCGCGTCCTTCAGCAGCTACAGTGAGGAGCTGCGTAACGCCTTAATGGAGTCCTTCACTAACTCGACGTCGAAGTGGGAGCTGGCAGTCTACGAGCCGCTGGTGATCCTGCGCATTGGCCTCGACGCGCTCATCAAGCAGTGCCTGCAGGAGACCGAGGACGACGTGCGGGAGATGAAGCGGGTGACCCACGAAGAAAGCCTCACCGCCATTCTGCATCTCCACCGTTTGAAGCGCTTCCAGCGGCTGCAGGCGAAGAAGAGGAGGCTTGATCGACTCCTTCGTCGAGCTCAGAAGGAGCAGCAGCGCAAATTGCGCACCATGACGGAGCAGGTCGCCCACGACATGGCGTACCGCCGCGGCGGGGCCCACCCCGAGGGCAGCGAGAACAGCGGCGGCGACATGCTCGACCACTTTAGTACAGTGAAATCGCACAAGGTGGTCGCCACCGTCACGGGGTTCTTGGTCGTGGTGCCGTTTGGCGATGCTCCGTTTCGCCGCATCTTGGAGAAGCTGCCGGACACGTTTGCGTGTGGGAAGACGGACCGCCACATCCACACCGCGTCGTGCCTGAACCGACGTGAGCTTATTCCGTCCTACGCGCTGAAGATCAAAGTGAGCGACCTGTCCTTTATCTGTAACGTGGAGGTGGTGAAGCGACTGGTGCCCGTCCTGGTCGCCGACCCCTCCGGCCACCCCGGACTGCCCGACTCCATCTACGCCACGGGCGGGTCTGTGAGCCAGGGCTGCAACACCACCATGCTCTTCTCTGGCCGGGTTCTAGCGCAGGACAGCCACGTCTTCTTCACGGGCGGGTCGCCGCTGCGAGGCGAGGTGACGCTAAGCGACATCCTCCGCACGACGTCGGTGCTGGGTGGAAAAGGGCTACTCACCAGCTACGCCGCGGATGAGCACGAGCACTCGCTGAACAACTTCGCTGTCGACTCGATTGAGGTCCCGCTGCGTGTGGAGCGCCAGTCCAACACGATGACGGTGGGGGTGGTGGTCGACGTGTCGGAGCCAAAAGGGTGCATCTCCTCGCTGTTGCTCAGCCTCCTGCAGCAGCTCTCACTGGAGCAGCCGACCTCGAAGTTGGAGGCGCACCTCCTGCCGCGTCGCCGCCGTGGTCGAACTTCGACGCAGGCGGAGCGGGCGAGAGCCAGCAGCGGGGGCGACAACCAACGCGTACTCTACAGCGAGGAGGTGCAGGCGCCGACAGAGGAGCCGATGTGTCTGCACCTCGACATCACCGGCCGCATCGAGGCGAGTGAGCTGGCGGTGTACTGCTTCTCTGACCCAGAGCGCTTCAGCACGGCGAATACAGCGCAGAATGCCGGTGCGGCGATGGGCGGTGGCAGCGGTGGGAGTTACCCCGACTCTCACACCCTGCGTGCCACGAAGCTGTCCAGCACGGAACGGCGGGTGGGCTTCGACATGGGGTTGACCATCCCCGGCAACAGCCGCTGGCGGACGCCGAAGAACACGCCGGCGGACGCACCGGGCCAGGCCGGCATCGCAGACAATACGCACAATCGCTACCTCATTATGTCCCTCCCGCTGCCTGGTGTGGTGGTGCGCACCGTCGCACGTCGCGGCCGGGGTGAGGGCGTCGATGATATCGCCATGGTGCGTGCGGAGCTGCGTGTTGGCACGATGGAGCTGAGCCCCTACATCACCGCCCTGGCCCAGGAGGTGGAGATGTGCACCACAAGCTACGTGAAGCAACGCGTGGAACGCAACAAGGGCATTTTTTCCTTTGTGCAGCAAATGGAGGAGGAGGTGCCGCTGCTCGGGGTGCCGCTGCATTGCGCGCTGATCGAGGTGCTGCTGCCGATGCCGCGTGCGTATGCCGCGGCGCTCGGACGAGAGGAGATGCACACCGCCGTGCGGCTGCGTCGCTCACAAGCGCAGGGCGGTGGCGGCTACGCGGCGGACGACGGCGCCGACAACGACGATGACGACGGCGTGCGCAGCGTGTCGCCGCCACCGCAGCGGAGGGCGCGGGGCCTCACCGCCGTCCACCTGACAATTAGCGATTTCTGCCTCGTTTTCACCACGGAGCCTGCGGCATCGACGTCCTTCACTCTCTACCTCGACAACGGCGGCACCATCGACGTCATCTTTAAGCACTTTCTACGCAACGACGTCAAGGAGCGCTTTCTCCGCAAGTTCCCCGACGTCTCGGTCGCCGTCACGCTGCGTCGCTTACGGGCGGAGTGCCAGACAAAGCTGGAGGTGAAGTCGCTTGAACTCTTCTTGCCAGAGGCGGAGCTCAGCATCAGTCGGCGAAGCGGCCTCATTGGCGTCGTCGACAACATCGCGGCGTATTTTCCCTGCAACGCCGAAGGCACCGAGCCGAACCTCACGGTGCGCCTGCAACACGTCTCGCAGCTGTTCCTTGTCCTTGACATGTGGTCGTTTACAACCTCCGAGACGCTGCGCTCCATTCGGCATCTCTTTGCCCGCGGTGCGGCTGGTGACGACATTGCAAAGCGCATGGCGCGGACCCAGTTGGGCCAGCAGGTGGTGAAGGGCAACCACGCTCTGCACGAGGTGCGAGCGAAGGTGGTGGATCGACGTAGAATTGTTTTCGTCGGTCTCTCGCACGCGCTCTGCCTCTGCGACATCGGCGCGGGGAGTGCCCATCACTTCACCATTGGCGAGGCGCACATGGTGGCCGAGGCGGCGGTGCGGGCGACGGGGTGCTCCGTCAACCTGCTGATTGGCCGCGCCACGAACACGTCCATCCGCTCCGAAGGCGTGCTGTCGGGAGGGATGATTATGGATAACGTCTTTGCGAAGGCCTTCGTCATTCAGAACGCCGAGGACGCGGAGGTCTTCGTCCGCTCGCCGGAGCAGCGCACGTTCCGTGAAGCGCTGCTGGTGCAGCAGGTCCACGTGAACTTCAAAGAACGGCAGCTGAAAGACGTGTTTGACTGCAAGGTTGGTGACTTCCGCGGCAACTCGATGGACGGCATCGGCGAAGAGGATTTCACTACGACCGACCTGGACGCTTCACTGCACCACGGCTCGCTCGGGGTAACACCCAGCACCGTGCCCGCCCTGCTTAACTTCGTGCGCAACATCAGCACAATCATCGCGGAGCAGCGCCGCGTCTCTGCGGCGAAGCTGAAGGAAAAGACGCTCCACTTGCGCCATGCGGAGAGCGCCACGAAACGGCCGCGCAGCGTCCCCAAGGCGGGAGGAGCGAACGGGTTTGACCATCTGCCGGCAGCCGGCCCAGAGCACGGCAGCGACTCGGAGAACAGTCACAGCAGCACTTCCACACAGCCCGCTCGCGGGTGCATTCCGCACTTCGGCAATCGGCTTTTGCGCGTTCCCTGCGGCCAGTTCCGCATCGGGCTCGACGATACGACCGTGTTGTTGGGTGCCATCTCGTCCAGCGAGGCCACCTCCGGCTGCGTCGTTGTCAGCTTCTCGAAAGGCCGGCTCTCCTTTGCCGAGTGCCCGTGTGACGACTACCGCGCGGCGAAGAAGGTGTTGGTGATCGAGACGCACAACGTGGAGCTCTTCCGTCCCGGCGCTCCGCGAGTCGTGGTGATGGGCTTCCACGGCGTGAACCACTTTGAGTTCTACACGCGTCAGGTGCTGGGCAGCGCCGAGGTCGGCTTCACCCTCACGCTGCGGCAGACCAACCCATGGACCGGCAACCCGCGCTTCCGCGACTTTGAGGAGATGATTCATCTCATCAAGTCCTTCACCGATAAAAAGAACGCGGATGTAATTAAGAAGTTCGGCCGCGTGGACACGACGACGTTCCCCGCCGACGGCGCCGGCTCCCCGCTGCCCCGCGAGAGAGGGGTGACGGGACTTGCGGCGGGCATGGTGGACCTCGATAGTCAGACCAGCCCCACGGAATCGATCAGGGCCTCCCCCACGGTGGAGAACGTCGCGGCGGTGGTGAAGATGGATGAGCGGACGCTGAAGGCACTCCGCAGCTCCAAGTTCTCGCCGCAGCTCCGCTTTGGCGGCGACGTTTCGGTAAACACGGAGGTGATTCTCAACTGGCTCGGTGTGACGGAGAAGATGCTGCCACACGTGGTGCACATGGCGCTGTGCGACAAGCTGGAGAAGCTGCTGAACTCGCTCGCGTCCTTCGCGAGTGAGCGAGTGCATCGGCGCAAACGGGCAGACACAGAGGAGAGTGCAAAACCGCCTTTGTCGCGGCCGGAAGAAGCGCGGAAGTTGGAGTACCACTAGTTATCAACGCCGGCCGGAGTTTTTTTTTTGAAAAATCTGTCGTTCTTCTCGCACCACATCTCCTTTTCTGCCGTCTTCCTGCAAGGTGTGTTGTTGGTTTGCGTTGTTGTGCTTCACGGTGGCTCCGTGCGTCACCGCGCCCCCCCCCGCGGGCACACCTACCTCGTCCTTGCTCCTCGTTCGGCCGTTGTGTGGAGCACAGGGAGGAGGACACCTTTTTGGTTTCTTCGTCGCCTGGCGCACGTCTCATGCGCGCTGCGCAGCTTCTCTCTTCTGTTGAGTTTATACGTTTGCTCTGTAGATGACGTACAACAAAGCGCAGAAACTGATCGGCAAAGGGATGCGCCTCCATTCTCCTTCCGTGCTTCCTCGCCAGTGTGAAAGCTCGCCGTGGTCAACGCTGGTGTCACAACAGGTGCCGCCCTTGTGTTCTCAGTGCCTGGGTGAGTGAGCGAGGAAGGCTGCAAGGCGGAAGAGGGCTCCTAAAAGGACACGTAGGCGCACACGTACGTGGACTGCCGGCGCGAGGAAAAATGCTGGTAGTGTTTTCTTCTTCTTCCCGTCTGGAAGCGCTCACGCGTGCGGTGTCGTCCGCCGAATCTGCTTGAACGCTCCGCACAATGTCCTTTTCTGCTTTTGTCATCTTGTCGCTCATCTTCTCGGACACACCCGGTGATGCCGGACATCGCTTCCCCGCGGCGAAACTAACTTCTCTTTAAAAAAAAACTATTTTTAAAAAGTCAAAGAACGAGCCAGGTAGCTAGAGAGCGCGATGCTCCGCTTGTGCCGACTTCTGAAGGGCAGGCCGCCGCCGGTGCTGGGCAACTCAAAGAAGGCGCGCTTCGCCGGCGTGGACGACAACCCGTCCATCACCTTCAAACCGTGGGACACGTCTGAGCCGCTGATGGCCGACTACGGCTGGGAGCGCGGCAAGCTGCCAAAGTTCCGCGCACGCAGCCCCTATCATCGCCAGCAGATCGCCCGTCGTATGGTGACCGAAATGATCCGCAAAGACTACGTCATCGTCGGTGGCGCACGCGCGCCGGCGCTGCGTATTTTGGCGGACCACGTCGTCGAGCTGTCGAAGTCGGGCGACACTGACTCCCGCCAGCAGCTCGCCTACTTTCTGCAGGACCCGCTAATGGTGGACAAGGCCTTCGACGAGTACCCGCGGCGCTTCCGTGACATGAACGCCAAGTACGCGATGATGACGCGGCTCAAAGGGCGACGGCGCTCCGACGGCGTTGCGATGTACTTTGTGGAGTACAAAAACCGCGACATGAGCGACAACCACAAAGGCGAGGACTACTCCACCGGCCCGGAGCGCTTCTTCTTGCCGCCGCGCATTGTTGAAACGGAGAAGGGCATTCAGCGCCCACCTCACATGCAGATGGCGTTTGACCGGTGGGCCAGCAAGTTCAAGACGGAGGAGTTCCATCACTGGTGGCGGCTGCGGCATGCGAAGCTGCGCTACTGGGGTGTGCGCAACGTGCCGCACCCGAGCGACGTCGACCCGCTTTGGACGGAGAAGGAGGAGGAGGAATGGCACAACGAGATGCTCGCCAACACCGGCGACTTCGAGGACTTCGACCTTGACGACGACTCTTTTGAGGCCACCGGCGAGGGCGCGCTTGGCGGCCCCGCTGTCTCAGGAGTGGGTCCTGCTCCGCAGAAGAAGTTCTAGAAGGGTAGGCGTGATGGGCGTTGGTCCCCCTCGTCACATCCTTACTTGCGTGTTTTCTCGTCACATCTCAGGAATGTCTACCGGTGCGCTTTCTTTTCTGTTCTTCTCTGTTCTTCTTTGGTAAAGCGCACAGGGTGGCCGCTGCGGAGGGTCGTTGTGGTATACGGTTGCGTGTCGCGTCCCTTCTCCCCTGCGGTGTACGCAGCTGTTGTGTTGTTGGAGGATCTTTGTGTCTCACGCCTCACGAAGGAGAACAACAAAAACGTGGCCAAAACCCGTACAAAGTGACGACGGCTCTTTGTATTCTTCTTTGTGTGTTGTCTCAGGCGTGGGGTGACCTCGCACTTCAAAAGAAGGAGCTGCGTCCGTGATGACTCGTAGCAGCTCACCGTGCTTTCCAGCCGCATTCCAATGCCTATCGATACCCCGTTGGCCACTTTAGGTTCTTAATGTGGGAAAGACTGCATGCTTGCGCCGATAGATGCTCTGCTGTGGTGCATGCGAAAGCTTCTGACGTGCAGTACAGAGGCGTCTAGCTGATGCTCAAATGCATATTTTTAAGAACCCGCTTTATTTGTTTTTCTCCACCTTCCCATTTTTCTTTGCTACAGCAGCTTCTTGCCCTTTGTGGCGCATACATATTTCTTTCCGCACTATAGTTTCTTCATCAGCGCCTCTCCCGGCACTTTCACGATGCCCCTCAAAAAGAAAGAGGAGGTGTGCGGCAAGCCCAATCAGTACAACCTGCAGACGCTGGAGTACGACTGGAAGGAGCTACCCGACACGCACATTCAGCTCCCTCCGCAGCAGCCCCGCATCCGCGATTACTCCCTTGCGCCGGTGCCCGCCGCAGCGCCGCCAAAGCTGAACCCCATCACCCACCAGCCGCTCCCGAACCCTGCTGCGGGCCCCTCCTACACGCCGCTGCCCTCCCCGTCCAAACCTGCGCAGGAGGAGGTCAACCGCCGCACCCCGCAAGGCCGCTACGGCAACAACAATAGAAAGGATCACGTAGCCGAATTGCTTGGAGACGGCGGTGCCTCTCCGGCGTACAACGCCCCTGCGCGTCCATCGCCATCACCGCTACTGCCTGTGCCGCCGCAGCAGTTTGCGCCTGCGCCTGCACCTCCACCAGTCTACCCCTACGATGTTGGGGAATTCGATCTGCAGCAGGCACCGAGTCGCTCGCCACCTCCCAAATTGAAGGCGTACGGCCTTGAAGATGTCGCCGTGCCTCCGTATCGGAACGACGGCTATGCGGTGATCCAGTGGTCGCATGACGACCTACGACGCGTCGGCACCTCCAACGCACTCGAGGCCCAACGCTCCTACCTGCGATGAACCTCGGTTCCAATTTCCGTGGTCCTACGCCTTTCTTTTTTTTCCATTGCTGCTTTGCTCAATGATGCCGCACTGTACACATCGTTGTTCTTCCTTTTAGCGATGCAGCGTTGTTGCGTAGGCTGTGGTCGAGGCCGAACGCGTACACGGCGTAGAGAGAACCACACGCACAGAATGGTACCGAGTTTTTTTTTGGTCTTTTACTGCTTTATCGTCCGTGCGAAGTACACTTACTCCTACGACTACGCAACCGAACGGCACACTTCTTTTGTTTCAGTGGAGGGGCGCATCTTTTCCATCGTGAGACCGCAGTGCTTACTTCTATGGCGCGAGCGAAACAGTTCAACTCGTTTCCTTTTCGTATCTCAGCATGATCATCGACGCCTTTCAATGCGCTACGCCATCAACTCTTTCTTCCACTGTCGCTTCTACCCCTCTCCCCCTTCCTCCTCTATCGACCGACCCACAAACACTCACAGAAGTCAACTGTGAGAGCTTCCCCTGCACTCTTCTCGTAGCACAATCATCACTCTGTGCGCTGCGCTTTCCTTCCCTTTTTTCTAAGAAAAAGTCTATTTCTTTATATAAGTACTTTAAGAGCATAAACCCCGCCACCGGCCTCCTCTCGCGAAAAATGCCGAAGAACATGGGTAAGGGTGGTAAGTCCTTCAAGGCTGGTAACTCGAAGGGTAACATGCAGAACCAGAAGCGCGATTTGACGTATGCTGACCCGGAGGAGGGCGAGGAGTACGCCCAGGTCAAAAAGGCCCTCGGCAACCTGCGCCTCGAGCTGCAGCTCGCCGGCGGTTCCACCGTGATCGGTGCGATTCGTGGGGCGATGGTGCGTAAGGTGTGGATTGGTCAGGGCGATGTAGTGCTCGTGGCGAAGCGGGACTTTAATAAGACCGGTGTGGTGGACGTCATCCACCGCTACACCCCGGCGGAGGTGCGCTTGCTGGTGAAGGAAAACGCCATTCCACGTGACTTCCGCTCAGCCGAGGAGCGTGACCACAACGGAAACAGCGACTACATTTTCGTGAACGACGAAGACGAGGCGCCGGAGGACGACGACGAGCAGAACGCAATTGACCGCAACGAGGTGATCATAGATGACCCGATTGCTGCCCTGGAGAACTTGTAGGGCACTGCGCCTCGCGTGTGTGCATGTGTGTTTGTGTGTGGCATCGGCTGGTTGCGCGTCCTCGGTTGACGGGAGGCGGCCGCCACGGTATGGGGAGTTTCTCTCTTCAGGTTTTATTCTGTCCGTGGAGGCGATGAAAGGCGATAATCCTCCTTATCTTTTTAGTTCTCCTTATTGAAACATAAAATGGCATCTGTGTAACCGGGCTGCAGAAGCTTCGAGGCGGTGCAATGGCCAGACGAAGACACTCAGGCTGCCGTTTGCTTCCCTTGATTTCCACACCATTCCCCCCTTGTCCGTTACACGCACACACACCCTTCTCTCTGCGTTGCAGCGCGTTGTCGAAGTCCGAAATTCAATAATCTTTTTGCGTGTTTTCATTGCTTTTCAAAGAGATGAAAACGGCAGGTCTTACCAACATCTCAAGAATCTCGATGAGACGACGTTCGATCCCTATTCTCTTCTTAAAAAGAAGAAGATGAGAAGGCGAACTCGAGATGCACAGAGAACTGGGTTGCCGTTGCATCGCAGTCGTTTGCCGTCGTCTTATGCGTGTGTGTCTTAAGTGACACTCCGATTCTCCTCATTTTTCATTTTTATAATTCACGTTTTTCTTCTCTTGATTTATGTGTCAAACACCTTATCTTTGTTTGGTTGTTTGTTGGGTGGTGTGCTCGCCTTTTTTTTTAGTTCAAGGTGTGGCGACGAGTGCGTATTTAACTAAGTGCACCTTTAGGCTTTCTAAGGGAGAAGGAAGTAATATTTATATGTAATACGTCGTATTTGAGTCAAATTACCACGGAAGTGAATCGTCTTCCTACTCTCTCTCTCTCTCTCACCGCCGGCCTACGCTTTGCTGCGTCTTTGGGGCACTTCATAGGATGTCCGAGGTGGCCAAATCGTGCTGAGCATTGCGTCGGTCTTGCAGTGTGGTGCGTGAGCGCCGGAGCACCCGATATCGCGTGTGCGATAATAGATAATAGAGAAGCGTGCTGTGCTTGTTTTCCTTTGCCCTGGGGGATGCTTCTCCTCCTCCGTTTTACGATGCTGCTCATCTGCGGCGATTGCGGCGTCGGCGTGGGAAACGGCTCGCCGTGTTCTCCCTTCACCTTTTATCTCGTCTTCGGTTTCCTCTCCATTTGTCGCACTTTATTTGTTTGCTTTTGTATTCGATAACGCCTGCTCTGCATCAGACGCTCCCAAAGCCAATTCGTAGTAGAGGAGGTTCGTAACTCCCTTTTTGCTGCAGTGAACTTCGTTGATCCATGAGGCAGCTCGACTGAACTTGTACCACAACTTCGCCGTTTTTCTTTGTCCGATTCGCATCCTTTGACATGACCGATCTAGCTTCCTCGTCTTCTTCCAAGGCGACTCGCCACTTCTTCGCCGTTGCCCTCGTCGCTGTGGCAGCGCTGCTGTTACTCGATGCCTCGCCGCACGCTTCTACAGTGAAGAGGACGGCTCGCGACGCAGTGCACGGTCTCCTCCTCTCACGTTCATCTTCCTCCGTTGCGACGGCGACGTGGAACGCGGACCCGGCGTACGACGACATCGAATCTGATGAATGCACGATCGACCGACTCGCATACGATGCAATGACAGCCGACGCGTTCTTTCGCTTCTACGAGGAGCAACGCCCCGTCATTCTCCATTATCCCGTGGACGTCACGGCACCCCGCAACTTCGAGTTTCAGCAGGCCGTGCAGAAGCAACGTCTGCTGGAGCACCACGGCCGCGACGAAATCATTCTCTCTTCCGGCAACCGCAACTCGTACGCGAAGCGCCACACGACGCTGGCGGACTACGTTGGGAACTATCTTCGTCCGCAGCCCGAGGAGGTGCGGGGTAACGCCTCGTGGTACCACTTCGGTGACCCGCACCACCAATACTGGCGCGAGGTGAACGGGCTGTATGAGCTGCCGAAGAAGTTTTTGCATCCCCATCAGTCCCCGGCGCTGAGCTTCGGCGTTGCGGGCAGCGGCACCGGGGTGCCGTTTCACACGCACGGCGCAGTCTTCGCAGAAGTTGTATATGGCCGGAAGCGGTGGTGGCTGAGTGCGCCGCAGCGAGAGCCGCGGTATGACCCGGACGCGAACACGCTACATTGGTTGCGACATGTGCGTCCTACCTACACCTCTGCGGAGTCAGCGAACTTATTGGACTGTGTGTGTGACCGAGGCGATGTGCTGTACATCCCCTCTCACTGGCACCACGCAACACTGAACATTGGCGAGGCCGTTTTCATGTCCGTATTCCTCTAGCAAAGAAAGCAACAGCGCCGACGCTTCTGAACGACTCTAAAAACAACCCCAACTGCCGCTGTGGAAATTTGTCTTCGACTCCTTTGCTTTCGAGACTCTGGCAAGACGCTGTGGCGCTCACGCTGCTGCGCCGGGAGGAGCCGTAAGCTCTCTCTAATGCGATGACGCTTGACATTTCGAAGCAACCATTACTTCTCAACTCTTTGGCATATTTCTTCCTTGCTGGTTGTAGTGGTTCCTTCTTCTCTGTCGTTGTTCTGTGCGCGTGAGGTAGCCGTTCCCAGCGACATCCACAGCAACGCCTCCATCATCATCTGAAGAGAGAAAACAAAACAAGTGGACATCTTCATCTTCTGTTGCTCCACATGCCGTGCGGCGTATCTCGCAGTGCGGAGGACCACGGCAGTGGTTTCACTGCACCACATATATCGACCTACGACCGCGCAGGCGAACGTCTACACACATACGCACACGTTCAAAAAAAACGACTGCAGCAGATCCGTCAGGCACAGAGCGCCGTCGATGCAGCCCGTCTTTTTCACCCTCACATCAGCGAGCTCGCACGCAGCCCGTGCTTAACGCGGGCGCCTCTCTACGCGGCATCGAAGAAAACCGCTTCGACTTCTTCTGAGGCCGCTGGCGCTTCTCCATCGCCTTTCGCAGCTGCGCAAATGTCTCCTGCACACTGGGACAGCTTTCTTTCGCGCAGCGCCGCGCACGAACGTCACCGCAGCGCGCGGTTGCGGGAGCTGAAGTTGCAGACAGCCGAGGATGCCGTGCGAGAGTGCACGTTCCGGCCGAGAGTAGGAAGACTGCCCGAGGAAGCGGTTGATCAGGCGGATGCCCCTTCACCGCGAGTGCTGGATCAGTTGGGCAATGACGCAGTGGCGCAACAGTGGATGAGAGATTTGGAAATCTTCAATAGGGAGATGGAGTTGTTGAAGGAGGAGCTGACAAGTCTGAGGCAAGTGGGGCAAACGCGCCATACAGAATAACTGACCATGCCGTCGAGTCCTTTTCATACCCCTCAAATTCTTTCTCTTTTCTGTCAAGGTGAGAGATCATTTGCTGATTGTACTACTACTACCACAACAGCTGTTGCCCAGCATTGGAAAAGGCAACTGAAAAGATATCATCCGTAACCGCTTTGCCACCCTCACCGAGAGGCTCTAGGTGGACAGCGTGGTCTCTGAGGTGCGGCCTCTTCTCTTTCATCACCTTCCTTGGAAACACAACAGCGACTTGCTCGCATTTATTTTTGCTGCTCTCTGGCCCATTCACACCGCTGCCGCCTCATCTTTTTGAAATCAAAGTACTTCTCTTCCGGTCCCCTCTCCTTATCGTATCCTTTTAGTTCCAACAGTGTTGTGCGCATCTATTAGATCAGTGGAAATGCGCAGAGGTGTTGCTGCCGCGCAGGCGACGGCGGCCGCGTGTGTGTGGGCGGGGCGGCGCAGCCTCCACCGCCACCACAGCCCCGACCGAACCTTCTCCCAGGAGATTCAAGATCGGCAAAATGCGTTCCGGTGGTCCAATCGGCACGTCTTCCGTCCGCACCAGCACTTCAGCTACGACCCATCGAACTGGAGTCGCACGTTGGAGGCGAAGGCGCTGCAGCAGCACACGCTCTCTCTTGTAGAGCGGGTGAAACGCACGCAGGAGCACGCGGCGGAGCGTCGTGCAAACGGAGCGGCGATGCAGCAGATGTCTGAATGTGCCTCGGAGCCGCCGACGGACCCCTGCGTGACGACCACCGACGACGACGACGTGCCTTCGTACTTCTTCTCCTCGACCGACACGACGGCACCATCCACGAGCCCACCATCAGACGACGTCGCCGCGCCGCACAACTCGTGGGAGGCGGTGTCGTTACAAGAGCTCGTCGATGAGCTGCAACGCCTGCAGCAGCTTCTCTACAGCCGCCGATACGCCGCCAACGCGTCCCTCGCTCGACGCACTCGCCAGGAAGAGGAGCATCGAATCATTTTGCTGCATCTTCTCGAGCGGCTGAGCGGGGCCGTCCTGGAGGAGACGGTCACCGTCGACGCCTGCGCCTTTGGCTGGTTTACGCTGCTTCGACACGTGGAACCTCTCGTGGATGCGATGGTGAGTGCCGCTCAACCAATGGTCACAACGCAGGAGGCCGTGCAACGCGTCTTCGTCGCTCTTCAACAGGGCCTGCTGCTCCCTATGACGGAGGGGGGTGTAGTGTATACGAGTGCCGCCGGGGGTGCGTTGTCGCTCGAGGCGCTCGTCGAACTGCTGAGCGTCGCCGCCAGCCCTTTTGTGCGCAACTGCAGTGACATTTTTCACGTGCCCGCCGTGCCTCGCATCGCCCTCGAGGCCTACGCCGAGTGGATTTCAACGGCGGCTCATCAACGGGCACGGGAGGCGGACGATGACGATGCAGAGGGGAGTTCAGCGCTGCGAGAGTGGGTGGCTCCGACCCACCTGGAGGCGTGGGCGACCGCGCTGCGGCACCTACACCATCGGGGTTCAGCGGTGGGCCACTTATGGCCAGGGTTGAGCCTGCACGTGGAGCACGCCGCCCTCTACGTCACGCGTACGCTGAAGAGCGTCACCGGCGTTAACCTCCGCGGACGTGTGAAGGAGAGCCTGCAGCGCAGCGTGCGGCCGTCTGCGCAGCGAGCTTCGCCGGAGGAGGATGAGGAGGCATCGGGCGAGCCCGCACGGGTGCGGGAGCCGAAGGCAGTCGTACTGGATGCCACCGCCCCACCACGTGGTGTGCAGGTCGCACCGACGGCGTGCGATGACGTGTCACGTGTGCTGGCAGCTTCGACGGCAGCACTGCAAATCGTTTCTGAACTCGACGGTGATGTGGCGGCCGTCTCCGACGAAAGGATGCTGCGGCCCGTGACGTCGTGTTTGCTGATGACGGCGCAGGCACCGAACTACGACTTAGAGGGCGGCGTGGTGGTGCAGTGGGCGTGCACGCTACTGCACACTGGAGCGTTGATGCTGGCCACTTCAGATACCACTACCGACGCCGCGGACAACGAAAGCCGCTGTGGAGTGCATGAAGCCCTGCAGAGAGGAGGAGAAGACGGAGTGCGCCTGTCGTTGCGCTTCGTTTTGCTCTTGTCTCGCCTGTCCTTTCACGATGTTGTGGATCGACCCGCTCTGGGTCGGCTCGCTCTCCTCCTCTCCCAGTGGCCGCTGCCTGCGTGCAGCGCTGCAAAGGAAAGGGCGGAGTGGCGACGGCTGCGCGGGCTCGTCATGAAGGCTTTGCTGGACCGATTGACGTGTGAAGACTTGGCTGCGGCGGCCGCGAAGGTGGATGGTGTGTCGACGTGGGTCGAGACGCTCGCGTTTGGCGAGTATGACGGCGTGGTGCCGCTGGAGCTGTGGCGGGCGGCCTGCCAGCAGTGGCTGCCCTCACACAACTCTCCTATCTCCACACCGTCGGCTGCCTCCTCGTCCTCTGTGCCGCCTGCGTGCTCACCGGACGTGGCGCACGCGCTCTTGCTGCTCTGTGCGCGCTACATCGCTCGAGAGGAGGCCAGCAACGTATCTGCGGTGGCGAACCTTCACAGCCTTCCTATCGCGGAGCGTGTGGCCGAGGGTGTGCAGGTGTTTCTTCACGGCAGGCCAGGGACGACGACTGCGCTGCTGCAATCTGCGGACACCTGGGATGCAATCCAGAATGAGATGCCGGCGACGCTGCACGCATTAATAGGCGCAATGCAGGCAGTAGTGCGGCGAGAAGCGGCACAGGCCAAGGTGATGCACTTCTGAGCACTGGGCGGAGTTCCGAACCGAGGATGTGGGTGCCTGCTTGAAGCGGTTTATTGCCCTTGCGCGAAGGGTGTTTTCTTTTCTCTTCTCTCCTCACACCCCATCACGGGGAAGCGTGTGAGCGAAGTCACCGTGGCGCCGTTACAGATTGCGCCTATACGATAAATAGTTCATTAATAAAAAAGGAAACTGTCAATACAAAAAAGAACACAGTTGTGCTAGGAGAGTGAATTGATGAATTCGAGATGCATCAGTGCACGGCAGCTCATTACAAGACAATTTTCACAGCTTCCTCGAAAGGAGGACCACGCAAGAAGAGGCATGCTTGCTGCTCACCCGAAGTTGGGAGGTGTTTCACGAGAGCGCGTTATGTGCAACCTGACTAGTGAGCTGGTTTTTTAAAACACTTTTAACGTTCGCTTCTTCACCCGTCCTCGCCTTTCTTTTCCAGAGTTTCTCTTTATTTTGATTTTCAAAAAGCCAAAAAAAGTGTTTTCTATCTTCTCTTCTTCATCCACTCGTCGTTCTCTCTGTTCCCGCTTTGACCGTACGTCACTGAAGTGCAAAAGAATCCGGGAAAAAAACATAGACGTAGTCTAGCAGCTACTTTTTCAAACCACACAGACAAATCTCTCACATCATTGTTGTCCTGTACGTGCGCCGCCACAACAAGGGAGATCAACGAAACCGTAATAAACATTATTTTGTTTTATATATCTCTGTATTGATGTCCACGGACTCTTTTTCGTCTTTAACGCAGTGACTTCCATTTCACACGTGTGATTTAACGTTTCAACGGCTTTCTCCTTCGTTTCTGCCCTCTGTCGCGCCGACGTGTTCTCCTTTACGCGACAGTTTTATGTTTCCACTCTGCATGCGCAACCTACGGGGACCGCGTCATTAACAGCCGCATCATTATTCACCTTTTTAAGCTGCTGACCTTTTGTTTCAGCTTTTCTTTTGTGCTTACTGGCGCTGACGTGACAGCGTCCGAGATCCTCTTTCCGCATCTACGTAGTTTGCGCAGTGGTCCGCCGCCTTCAGCGGATTCCTAAACAGCAGAATC